GGACAACAATATCACCCTATAGAGAGCTAGGGTTCAACTTTGGATTGTGGAGCTCTCTTAACTTCAAGTCGTTTTTGGAATTTGCACCTTATACATCACATCGGAAGCTACATGATAAATTCAATACAATGATAGCGATCTATTTTGAATTTTTAATATAGAATACGACAAATATGTTTGTATATAAGTGTATAATATCATGAGGCTCATAAGTTATAGCACTCAGTAATTTTTTTGGGTGTTTGTTAAGTACCGTCCCTCTTTTTACTAAACTAGTATAGAGTCCGTGCGATGTACGGGGTGCATAATTTTAAGGTTATTTATCCAGCCTTATAATTATATAAATGAATAAAAAAATATACGGGATATATATATATATATATATATATAGTATGGGACATGTGCGAGACACAAGATATATTTATTTGGGGAATATTATATTATAAGATGTAATATTCAAAAAAGTTTTATAATACGCAGGAAAATTATACATCAAAATAGTATTCGACAAAGAAACAATCATAGATTATTAATAGATTATTAAAGACCTCCTTGTACATAGCTATTAAATAATTTATTAGTAAAATAGTGTATAAATTGATTACAATAACAAAACAATATGCTCACGGGATTAGTAAAAACACTCCATGGGATTGAAGATTTAATGGGATTAAACATTTAAATTAATTAATTTATAATTCGAAATTAGATAATTCAAAAGCCTTAAAACATTGTTTTGACTTTAATATATTACATCATGGGTATGCTTTAAATATATTAATATTTAAGAAACTTTAAACAATATAGTTTTTTAAAAATTGTTTTATGGAACTTTAAACAGCATATTTACGTCACCCATAAAACAAATTATATTTCAACAGCATTATAGTATTATTTAAGGAACTTGAAACAGCATTGTTAAATATTTACGTCCATCCATAAATTTTTTGTAAGTCGAAGGTAATTAATCTCATGTTTTTTTTTTGTTCATTTCTTCTGACAAAATTAATGTCATGGATAAAACAATTAAATATTAAATAAATTAATTAAATAATATGCTTTAGACAGATGTAGAATGCGAATAATCCTCTCATGCCAAATAATGCCATTTTAAAATTGACTCAGGTCCAACAATCTTATCCAATATTTCATTAAACTAAATATTAAATAAAATGCCTTAAACATAAATTAGATAAGTAATTTTGAATCTGCCTTTTTTTTAGTATAGATAAACTTTACGTAATTTTTTACTTCACCGATTTTATGGGATTTGTTTTGACTAAACTGATGTTATTATGGAATAAGACAAATAAATAAAGCCTTTTTTATTTTAGTAAAGATTCTACTTTTTTTGACTTATCGGATGTTATGAAATTTTTTTTCTTAAACCAATTTTATGGGATATAAGACAAATAAATAAAATAATTAAATAAAATTCTGGATAGAAATAACAATGCATTAATTACGTTGACTTTTCAACCTACTATATTTGATAAATATGATACCTTATTATTTAAGTATAAATTTATAATTGCATTAAATAAAAGAATTTATAGAATAGATTTACGTACAGAATTTTGATTGGTTTTTGCTCACCCGATTTTATGGGATTTTGAAAATCATGATAAGAAGGATTAAACACAATACGTAAATAGGATACTTGATTAAAATTATAAATGCATTAATTATTACTTGATAAAATTAGAAGTTCATTAATTAAGTTTGACTTTTCTATCTACTATATTTGATAAATAGGATCCCCTTTAATATAAGTATAGATATCGTCCCCCAAAAAGACAATTTTACCCTTTTTAATATAAAAATATTATTTTTTTTTGCTGGCCGGCCTTGAATGCCGGTCGTAGCCGTGCCGGCCTTCTTTTTGCCGGTTGGCCGGCCCATGCACGGCCGGTTTTGCCGGCCGGCCGGCCAATTTTTTTTTTTTTTTTTTTTTTTTTTTTTTTTTTTTTT